ACCTAAGTCCACGTGAGAATCTAATCTGGACTGAATAAACCAGATTCCTGAAAATTCTCAGAAATAATAAATTTGCACAAATGTTAGTTCAGTACAGGATGTCTTAACATTGGTTATGACAACAAGAATCCTGTTTACTGATTTTGGTAGAATACAATAAATATGATCATTGCATAATGATCAACTAAACACTCTGTATGACATTCTTTTTCTGCATAATGTACCTAGTATCCCAGAATGTTATGATATCAGTCATGACATTCACACAACTGGTTTTACCAAAAAACATGCCAACAACTAAACACTTACACTTCCACAATGATGACATCTCCATCTTTGATACTTTTTCTTCATATTTTTCTGTTCTTGATGTTGAGTGTTATGTTGTGACATCTGCTTTGACATTTGTTTATCAGGCCTGGTCTTCTTCTTGTCAACAGCAGATTTCTTTGCAGCCACAAATCCTAGACCAGACATGTTTCCTGCATTTTGTCCAGCCTGAAGGATTTCTTCCAACTTGTCAGTTCCATTTATCAACATCTTGACAGACTTAGTCATCTGATCAAGTTTGGAGTTCAGCATTTGAACTTCACCTTCGAGATGGCTTATAGTAGCAATGTCTGCCTTCTTCTCAGCCTCCAACTTCACTATGAGTTTTTTCTGTTTCTCATTTTACTGACAGACTTCAGCACTTCTGATACATAGCTTCTTGTAGGAGTCAGCAAGTTCTTCAAATGTCACTTCCTCATCACTAGAGTCACTATCAAAGTTACAAATACCAGATAGTGCAGTAACTAGTTTAGCAGATTCTTCTTCAGAGTTACTTTCTGAGTCACAATCAGACCAAGTAACAGACATTCCTTTCTTTTGTTTCTTAAGAAAGGTAGGACATTCAGCTCGAATGTGCCCATATCCTTCACATCCATGGCATTGGATTCCTCTGCTTTGATTTCCCTTTTCTTCAGACTTAGTTCTTCTGCTGGAGTCATAGGATCTGCTAATGTCAGAGGGAATGTTCTTGACATTTGACCTTTACTTTGGGTCCATTCTCTTGATGGGTTTGTTGAACTGCCTTCTAAGCATAACTATAGCTTCTGAAATATTCTCTTCATCACTCTCCTTGCTTTCATCTTCAGTATTGGATACAAGGGTTATGCTCTTGTTTTTCTTGTCCACATTTTCACTGATCCCCATCTCAAAAGTCTGAAGTGACCCAATGAGTTCATCAACCTTCAAGTTGCAGATATCCTGAGCTTCCTCTATAGCAGTCACTTTCATTGCAAACCTTTTAGGCAAGGATCTGGGAATCTTTCTCACCAGCTTTTCTTCTGACATCTTTTCTCCCAATGCTCCTGAGGTGTTGGCAGTTTCCAAGATGTTCATGTGAAACTCATGAATGGTCTCATCTTCCATCATCCTTAGGTTCTCAAATTTGGTAGTGAGCATCTGAAGTCTTGACATTTTTACTTTGGATGTACCCTCATGAGTGGTTTTGAGAGTGTCCCAAACATCCTTGGCCAGTTCACATTGATGTACTAGTCTGAATATGTTTCTATCAATTCCATTGAACAAGGCATTTAATGCTTTAGAGTTACCCAGGGCTAACTCATCTTCTTCTTTGCTCCATTCTTCCTCAGGTTTCAAACTAGTCGTCCCATCTTTCCCAGTTATGATGGGATGGTTCCACCCTTTGTCAGCAGCTCTCCAAGCCTTTTTGTCCAATGACTTCAAGAAGGCAATCATACGAGGTTTCCAGTAGTCATAGTTTGATCCATCTAGAATAGGTGGTCTGTTCCCAAATCCTCCTTCCTTGTCCATAGCGCCAGAAAATAATATCCCTAGATCTCATCCAGAAAGACAGGCAGGGTGCCTGCTCTGATACCAATGGAAATTCTGGCAACAGATACTTAATGTCACAGTGAATGTTATGACACCGTATCTGACACACTTGTACACACTTCAAGACAGTAATTTAAAATACAGTAAAGAACACAATCAATTGTTAATCCAGTTCAGTGTGTAACAACACCTACTCTGGAGGCTACCAAGCCAGGGAGGAAATTCACTATAAGAGGTATTAATTTAGGAATAAACCAACCAGTTTATCTCCTTCACTTAAGACCTTCCCAATGCAACTTCAATCTAAGTTCTACTTAAACTTGAATTCCTACTCACTCCCCCTCAATCACAGCAGTGATACTAATCTATTGATTAATGAGATTATGAAGACATTCTTCAATACACACACTTGATTTTGCTTCAAAGCTTTAATCAAGACACACAACACTCGTGCTTCAAAGCTTTGAGTGATAAACAACCCTTACAACCAAATCCTACTCCAACTCACTTATCAAAACGATAATTGTTTGGCTCACAGTAGTTACAACTATACAATACCTTATTGATCTTCTGTCAAAAAGTGCAACTCACCATTAGGCTTCGTGAGAAATATATAAGCAGACTATTCTTCTTTTAGGGCTTCCATAAAAATAGCTAGGGTTAACTAAAGTTAACCTAAAGACTTGGTTTTGGGCTTTCATCATGACAGATTAGGGTTAAGCAAGGTTAACCTAATGTCCACATGAGCAACTGATCTGGACAAAATTCTTCAACTCAGAGAAACACACCAGATTCCTGAAAATTTTCAGGAATAATAAATCTGCACAACAACTTGATCAGTACAGGATGTCTTAACATTGGTTATGACATCATGTATCTCGCTCACTGATTTTGGTAGAATTCAGTACATATGGTCATAGCTTAATGATCATGATATTCACTCATACTGAGTAGTTCCTATAGAACATTCCTTCTGCAGAATGTACCTTTATCCCAGAATATTATGACATCAGTCATGACATTCGCAAATCTGATTTTACCAAAAAATAATGCCAACAAACAAACACTTACAAACATTATACTATTTTGAGCATTGTGCTTAATTAAGTAAGCAAGGGTGTTAAAAGTTATAGTGCATCAGTTGTTGCGAAAGTGGATAACACTCAAGAGGTTGTATTTAAGTCCTTTCAAAAGCATAACACCATCTATGTGGTTTTGGAGGGATTTCCCATAGCATTTTATCTTAAGATCATATCCCAATTGTTGGCCCGTAGGTAACATAACATATCCACACTCTTTTTAAATGAAGTCAATGAATATAAATGTATCCATTGTCATGTGTCTAGAACATCCATTATCAAGATTTTTTTTTTCCGATGGTTAGACACTTATTCAACAATCAAACATGTATTTAAGACCCTTAACATGAGTTGGGTCCATGAATGTTAGTGACACATATGGGAGTTTTAGACATTCACATCATTTTTCCCTTAGGAACTACAAACTTTTTAATATGTACATGAGGTGTAGTGTTTCATAACTGGCTACAATAATGACATCCCACCTTAGGTAAGTAGAGTTCTTCTACTATTTTCAAGTATTTTTTACAAGTACTTTTGAAAGATTTACTTTCATCATTAGACTTCATAGTAACTCTACTTTTACTTTTGAGGCTGACTTTAATTTTCACTTTAGAGATTTGAGCTTTTCAAGAAAGTTAGGATTAAATTCACAGTTCCTAGTCCATCTAAGTTTCATAATTGGGAGATTCATATTGTTAACAAGGGCTGAATGCTCAATTTTTAAAGAAAGTAAAATGTATTTAAGCTTATAACTTCACCTTCTAATGGTTCTTCGTTGGGTAGCTAGCTTCTTGAAAGCCTTCAATGCTTAATACATATCTTGAAAACTGGTTTCCTCATATGAAGGAGCAGAGTCAGAATCAATGTTTACAGTCGCTTACCTTATAGTTTTTGTGTGTCCTATGAGACATAAGTGTGCGACCTCTTCATTTCCTGACTCGCTTGAAGAGAAACTCTTTAAAATTAAATGTGTGTTTACTTCAATATTGCAGCTCTTCGGAATTTTAAATAGTTTCACTTTGGCAGATTACAAGAGTGCCAAAGGCAGTACAAACAATAGGACCAGATTACACTATTGAATCAATTCAATTTCTTACTAACTTACAAGTTACAACAAGTAAACCAGAATCATGTGTAAAATTCAACATGACCTGCAATTTCTCTGCATATTAGCTTGGATTCACTAGCTAACTTGATGCTTTTCGCAATTGCTAAACCAGTCAATTTGTGAGTAGATGCAGGCTTATAAGACTCCACCTGTTCTTTACACCCCAACAACAAAGCTTCCCTCGCCGGAACCACATTTTCCCACCAAAACTCTCTAAGAATCCCATGTATTATATCCCAATATCCACGCTCCCTGACGACACGAAATATAGTGCTTCCATTCGGCGTCCAACAATACAAATCAACCCATTCAAAATCCATAATCTCCATTTGACCTTGAACTTGAGGCATGTAATAGAACGGCATTGTTGACCACGGCAAACCCGTCTCAGGCTTACCCTTATTATAAGGGCACTTGACTTCCAATATCCCCGTACCCAAGACACCATCCGGCGAAGCACCAAGCCAATCATAAGACTTCTCCGAATGAACCGCAAAACCCATCGACGTCACCTCCCGACCAGTTATCTTTTTATAATTCTCAACAGCCACCGTCTCATTCAACATCCCCCACGCCATTGCGTTTCTCTGAGAAGCTTGAATGATTTGTGACTCGGAAGCAAACACTTTCTCGTGCCAGAGCTCAAAACGGCGCGCACCTTTCCAAAAACCTAACGCGGTACTAAATGTGCTAGTTGTCAGTTTGTCCTTACGAAGGGCGAACCACTCGTCGGAACGTTGCGGGACATCGGCAGGTGAAGCAAATGCTGTAAATGTAGGGGACTGAATTAAAGAAGGTGTTGAAGTAGTAGTGCCTATAGATAAATTTCTACAATTTTGTTTTCCGTGTTTAATTCTTGTAGGAAATGTTTTGTGAAGAAATCCACTGAATTTAAAGACGTTGGAATTGCATGTTGCTGATGAAATCCTCATATCCATTCATTCAAAAATTAATCAGGACGAATGAAGTACCTAACTACCAGAAATAACGGATTCAATTAAAATAACGAGTGTTATGTTATAACAACACAAAAAATGCATTTACTAGTTCTATGTTATAAATCTAAAGCTAGGTTAAGAGAAATTCGAAAGAAGTGAAAATGAAAAGAGGAATACCTGCAAGAGTTTGTAACTGTTTCTGGCGTAATACCAAGAGCTCCGGCTGGGTTTTCCGGCAGGTTCAGGTCGGCGCGCCTCCTATCCAATCCACTCCAACTAGTTTCGGAGGACAAAGCAGATGGACAGCGATTATGGGTGTCCTCAAAACCAAGTGGGTTGGGCTTCCGTTTATAATGTTTTTAACTTACGACTCCAAGGTTGATCCCGACACCCCCCATTTTCTACTCCTTTTATGATAGTATTTCTTATAAATATCGAAATTTTTAAAAAATATAGGCGGTTATCATAAATTTCAGGAGATTATAGAAAATTTTCCATAACTTTCCTTTTTTTTACATTGACAGGTAAGAAATTATTAGAAATTTCAAATTTTCAATTAAAAGATAGAAGTTATCGAAATTTTGAAATTTCCGTTAATTATGTGTTATACTGATGTTTAATGTTGACAATATTTTTTTGAAACGACACTCTGATTGAACCTAACTGCAATTTCGATATGGTGTTCACAACATCCCAACTTTGGCATAAATCTCTCTAACTTGTTGTCAACATGTTTTTAGTGTCCAGTGAGCAGACTTCACCCTAAAAATCATAAATAGAAATATATGTTAAATTATGATCAGTAATGTAATAACATCAAATTGTCATGTTCCGTGTATCTATTTGTTGTTGTGTTCCTTAAATACGTGACTCTATTAGTCCAAGCAGTAACAAACATTTCTTTATAAGGTGTCAACCATGTGTCATTCACATATTTAACAAATAAAGGAATATCAGCACAACCCCTCTCAAAGTGCTTGAAGTGTTAGACAAACTCAGTTTCTGTATTTGAATATATGATGTTGTTCTGTAGATCCATGACATGTTCTTGTCTTTGTGATTTAACGTACTCTTTACATTTCATGCTCACGTTTTTTAAAATATGGAACGAACACAGCAGATGAGTTGCATTTGAGAACATAGATTCCATGACATTCATCAATGTAAGTTCTCGGTCGGTCACCACAATCTTCGGTAGCAATTTATCAGTAGAGAATAACTCTTTGAGCTTATTCAGTTCCCATGTGAAATTCTCCTTCCTTTCATGTTCCAAATAAACAAAGGCAACTGAAAACTTTAACTGCGTTGGCGTGACACCAATAATCTCAAATAGTGGTATTCGGTACATACAAGATCAAAATCCATATAATCAAACTCATAACTCAATATCTACAATAAATATCAAGATGTGCAATCAATTTTTTTACTTATTTATCTTGTATGTGCAATCAAAAATCAACATCAAATGTAACATATTCAACTACTTCACAGAATTAGGATGTGTCTAAAAGATATCAGCTACAACATCTGATATGTCCTTATTTTTAGTCTAACACATGTATTTCTCTTTATGAATAAGGCTCAACAACATAGGTGTTTCTGTCAATGGGCCTTTCTTGCCCGTTCTATATGTAGCTCTAGCTTTATACACCTGGATAACATTCGTGAGGTTTTCTGAATCTTTGTCTTTCAAAGCAGCAATTATGTACCTTGGAGCCATATTGTATTTCGTCATGTCATTCACAAACTTTTTTCATGATCTTTTAGATGGTCCAATATGTCATGGCCTTCCGAATCCTCAGATAGTTTATGATCGTGCATCTCGCACCTAACCATCACCTTTCAACCGATACCACTTGGAACAGATCTCGGCCTAAAAGGACATTTAACTTTCATAGTAAAAATGCCTTATGAGAAATTATTGAGTTCAGATGTATTATTTTTTTGTACTTTCCTACTCTCTCACAACCCATAATCAATTTATTCTTCCTCTCTGGCATTCCATTAGCAGAATCTGAACAAACAGTGACAAGAATAATACCATGTTATTGTTAGCTGAAGATTTCGACATTTGATGAAAGTTGATTTGGGAAAATCGTGTTTTAAAGGATGGCATGAAACTTGGATTTATAAGGTTATTTTATTTGATATATCGAAGTACAAATCAGAGTCAAAAGAATGAAATCGTATTTCAAGATATGTGAAGATCGCTTCGACAGTCACGTTAGATGAATTCAAAGCTTCGAGCGAGAAAAGTTTGAAATTTAAACTGATGCGTGTTTGCTAGGAGGACGCGTGGAAGCATTAGAGTGTATACGTTTGAAAATATTGAACGTGGCGTGATCTCATAGAAAGACCGTTAGGGTCGAATTAGTATAAATAGGAGTCTTAGATGTTAGGATTCAAGGGTGTTCACATTGTATATAAATCTTTTAATACTCGAAGTACCAGAGCGAGAGAAAATAGTTTGCTGATAATGTATGTGTAAGAACACCATCAGTTTATTTAAAGTCATTTTCTCAATACAAAGTTACTTTAATCACCTTCTTATTCTTTTTCGTTTCCAGTCAAGTCTTTAACAAATTTTGTTGAACTTTACTTATTAGCATTGTCTTTACATTCTTGCAAATATCCAGATCATTTCCTTTAAGTTACATTTAGGATCTATAGTAAATCTTTAATATCTTAGGATAATCATAATCACATAGAAAGATCTCGTTATTATTCATATAATACCAAACATCGATTCAGGTTGTAAAAACACTAAGACACGTGTCCTAAGATCAATCTAGTCGATCATGTAAGTTACCAAAGCGTAAAGTTTGGAAGACTAGCGGTTGTTTGTCAAAAATCACTGGTAAACAAATTGGCACACCCGGTGGGACCGTGTCGAAGTGTTTTAGTTACATTGCTTATGTTCTTTCAATTTGGGTCTTTATAGTTTCTTTTATGAACTTATTACTGCCATTAGTATATGAACCTTAGGAGTGGTAAGATAACTAATAATAACCAATCAATACCCAAAAGAAAATAGACTAGAAAAATAGTTAATACTACCAATAGTGGAGGAGGACAAAATCCTCCACAAGGATCAGGCACAATCGTTGCGAGTTTGACGAATGCGTCAACTGCAATCCCGGGTTCACAAGCCATATCCATATCTACAGGATTCATGTCTACAAATAGTTCTATACCTGGGTCCACAGGGTCCATACCCACGAACAATTCGACATCCATGCCTATCTCTGCAAGCATGGAAGAGATCCCTTCGAATACACAAACTGGCCATGTGTTGACATATGTTAGAAATCAGACTCAACCTACAACCCCTAGGCCACCAGGGTTTGAAAGTTTTAGGCATTGGAGGGAGCAACCCCAATATGGGATGCCAACTTTCTTTATATCAGGATTACACAATAATCCATCCACGCATACACAACCTACCATGACAACCTTTTCGCCAGTGCAAATTTTGGTTCTGGTATGAACCATGTGGGTCGAAGTACGCAAAACCAAGGATTGTCAACCCAATTACCTATGCTCACAACTAATATTCAGGAAGCATTTAGGTAACAAATGGACGCTAGTAACCATGACATGGTCGGAGTGCTTTCCCGTGAAATGAATACCATTTTCTCCCCTTTGATCCAAAATTTTAATAGGATAAACCAAGAAAATACCTAATCCTATCAGCAAATGTCAGCGCAGATGGAGCACATAGCAGACTTTTTTGGAGTCCCCCAAGCACCTGTTCGACGTAGGCAAAACCAGGTGGAAATTCAAGAGGAAGAACCCACTATCAATCAGGTCCGACCACCCATACAAGAGGTTGGCGAAAGGGACATGAGGGCAAGGGTAGAACAACAAGAGATTCGACATGAGATCCCTAAGGAGCAACCTAAGAGAGTAGTAATGGTTAACAGAGATCAAAATGCAGAAGAGGTGATCCATAGAGTTAGGCAGGATAACGTGCTGGCTGAAAATAATTTAACCACCATGATTGAAAGAATCATGGCCCAAAATAGTCTAAACACAGGGTTTCGACGGCCAAATTACACATCTCCATTAACAGATTTTATTTTGCAGGCTGAATTACCAAGGGGTTGTAAAGTCCCCAAATTCACAAAATTTTCAGGAGATACTAACGAATAAACTGTCAAACATGTGGCCAGGTATCTGATAGAAGCAGGGGATTTAGAAAATAGTGAAAACTTAAGGATAAAATATTTTCCTAGTTCATTAACAAAAAATGTTTTTACGTGGTTCACCACATTGCCACCAAATTCTATAGATACATGGCCTCGTTTAGAAAGATTGTTCCATGAATAATTCTACATGGGGCAAACTAAGATAAGTCTTAAGGAGTTAGCCAGCATTAAAAGAAAGTTTACTGAACCTATAGATGACTATTTGAATAGGTTCCTTTTGTTAAAATCTTGATGTTTCTCAGTAGTGCCTGAACATGAACTAGTCGAAATGGCCGCTGGTGGACTAGATTACTCCATTCGAAAGAAACTAGATACTCAGTATCTAAGAGACATGGCCTAATTAGCAGATAGAGTTCGACAAGTTGAACGTTTAAAAGCAGAAAAGGCCAGAGCAAGTAAAAATTTTAAGAAAGAGAGGGTAGCTTATGTCGAAGCCAAAGAGGAAGAAACAAAGGCCTTCAATGATATGTATGATTTTGAGGAATTCGAAGTAGATTTAGCTGAACTAAAAGAAGCACCCATATACTCTTGTAAAATGCTTACACCAGCAAATGGCAGAAATCCTATCGAAACAGAAAAGAATGAGAAATTCCCCAAGAAAACTTATACGTTTGACATCACTAAATGTGATGAGATTTTTGATTTGCTTGTAAAAGACGGTCAAATGATAGTGCCTCCTAATGCCAAAATCCCTCTGTTAGAACAACGGAAGAAAAGAGGCTTTTGCAAATATCATAACTTTTTGGGCCATAAAACTTCACAATGCTTTCTTTTCAGGGATCTTATTCAAAATGCTATCAAAGAAGGACGTTTGAAGTTTGCTGAGAAAGTCAATAGCCATATGTAGATTGATGCTAATCCCCTCCATGTCGCAGATACCAATTATACTGAACCTATGGAGATCAACATGGTGGACATGGTGGAGTATGAAGGAGAATAGGCCAAGGAAGTCAAAGTCTCCAACATGGATGAAAAGTAGGCTACTGAAGGCCTAACTGACATAATTCCCTTTGACACTCCTGTCGAAAATATTTCTGCAGGTAATGTTGGATCAGAGGCTACTGAGGGCCCTGTGGGAGGAATAACTGAGGCTACTAAAGGCCTTATAGTTAAATTTGAGAAGATAAGGATTGTTGAAGGTCCTAGTATAAGGGTTAGCATGGTGGATTTGAACTAACCTTAGCCAAAAATGGAAGAGGTGGAAAGATGCCTCAGGCTGGAGAGGGAACAGGTGAGTTCTGGTTACCCTAAGGCCAATGAAACTCTACGAGAGTACTTATGGAGGTGTCATCGAAGGAATTCAGAGATACTGGTGTGTCCAAGGTGCAGAATTATTCTGAATCGAAGGGTAGCAGAGGCTTATGAAAGAGCTCAACGTGCTAGAACTCAGGGCAATTGGAGACAAGAAAGCCAAATGATGAAAGTGTACCCAAAGCCAGGGGAAAGTATGTCGGGTTTTCTGGTACGTTGTTATAAAGATGAAAAAGAGTGTCTGTTATGTCCCAGGTGTGGAGCAGTGTATGACAGGGAGATGGCTGGGATGTTCAAAAGAATTCCATTCACCCATGGATGGGACCAACAAGGTGGCAACCCAAAAGTATTCATCTTCGACAATAGGGGAGTTCCCAGGAGATAAGACAGTCCTCACCCTAAAGCTAGGAGAGTCACTTTCAAACTTCCAGCTGAAATACCAACTGACTAATGGACTCAGGCAGGGGCGGGAAGAGGAAAATGGAGGAGCTTCGACCAAGGAGGCAGGACTTCAATGGCATACAGAAAATAGTTCCAGACATCGAAGAGCGAGGCTTACAGGTTAGAGAACTACAAGGGAAAGAATCCAATTTCTGGATCCCGGTGGAGGAGGCATCAAAGGATTAAAAAGGCTGAAAGAGAGCTAGTATCAAAAGACATGGGGGAATCCAGTAGTAACAAGTTCCCTTCGAGAACTACGAACTCAAGTAAGCCACTTGTGGGTCGAAAAATTTTTATATCAGAGGAGAAGGTTGCAAGTGAGAAAATTTAAAAGAACCCAATAAAGGAAGATGAAATGTCAACTGATGATTTTGAGTCTGACGGATTTTCGTCCCTTAATGTCAATTGTAATGTAGTGTCGGTTTTACCTCATGAGTATAACTAGGAAACTGAAATAGAGGATCAGGAAGAAGCATATGAGGAAGAAATGGCCAAACATAAACCAGTATGTTACTATGTGCTTAACAATGGAGCTGTCGAGGAACAAAATGCTTTCTTCGAAAGGCCTGACTAGGGCATGAAAGGGCATTTGAAGCCTTTGTACATTAGGGCCAGGGTCGAACAAGTGGGAATAAACAAAGTTCTGGTGGATAGAGTAACAGCTGTCAATCTAATGCCACAATTTATATTTAAAAGGATTGGAATGTTTGATACAGATGTAAAGACACACAACATGGTCCTATCAAATTATGAGCGGAAATTTGGACACACATTAGGGGTGATATAGGTAGATCTGACAATTGGTTCAATTACAAGGACAACTATGTTCATGGTA